AGTAATTAGAATACTAGTGGGGGGGTGGGGGGGTTCTCGGTCGATATGATGATGATGACTTACTTAGACACACACATACTCCCACACACATACACACATGCTGGAGTTGTGATAGTGAATGTGTCTCATGTAAACTCACTCAGCAAAGAAAGGAAGTGACACCATTAGCTGGCGTAGTATCCGACTGGCAGCTTATAGACCAGGCGGGAGCTTTATCCTCACACTCTCATCTCTTCTTCTCTTCCTCTTTTTCTCCCACTCATCCATCTCTCATCCCTTGCTGCTGCTCGGCGGGGTCGGAAAGGTTAGTTTGAGAATATAATCCATCACAGATCACTGACTACCTGCTGCAAATCCTCAGTAATCAGCAGCACAATGGAGTCTGAGAGGAGGCAATTGGTTTGGGAGATTATGCACATTTCATCCGAACTCCGTAATGAATTCTGATTATCACCTGTGTCATTTCAGAAAGTCCATAACCTCATAAATAAACTGTCATGTCACCTGGGAAATCTGTTTCAACTAGATCTCCTATTTCACAAAATCTTGTTCTCTCTTTAATTATCTTTATCTCTGCAATTTAATCACTTCACTTCTTCTACTTATTTTTCTCCACCACTTTCCTGCCCCTACTTTTTTCAGGAATAACGAAATCCTTCTTCTATAGCCTCTTATCCAAACACTCACCCTCCTCTTTCTCAAAACAGACTTAAATCCCACCAAGAAAAACTGATTATTTCTCCATCATCCCTTTTCTCTTTTCCCCTCTTCTCATCTTTCTCACTTCCTCCCCAACTCTTTATCCCTTCTGTTGCAAAAAGTCTGGTCTGTCCTCTCCCCGCTGCAGCCACTACTGTCTGCTCTCTTGGATTGCATCTGTTCCTTTTTATCCCTCCCTCTCTCTGTCCTCTTGCTCTACCCTCGCTGACATTGCTGTTTCTTTTCATCCTTTCACAATTCTCTAAACTGCATCCTCTTTCATTCTCTAGACTTCAGTCTCCTCTCTCAATGACATGGCCTATCACTCTGTCTCTTTATTTTTCCTACCTTTAATAAATATTAAGTAGGTGTTAAATATTTGATCCACTTTCTGACATTTTTCTAAGCTAACTAAGCTAAACCCATCTTTGCAGTTCTGCTAAGCTCTAAGGAGTTTTTCTTTGCCTCTTTCAGTCTAACTGCTCTCATCAGCGCCGTTTTCAACTACGACAGGCTGCTGCAAACAGGCACTGATAAGTTAGCGACTAGCTAGTGAATATTTTACCTCAGGATTTGGTGGAGAAATAATATGTCTATGACAGATATTATGTCAGTGTTGTATTTACAGCTCATTCTGCTGCCCTCAAGTGGCCAAAAATCA